GGGAAAGAGAGACGGAGCGTGCCAGAGGTCGTGCGGGAGTGTCGGCAGAGGGGCGCTCGGGGTGACGTCAACCCCGCCCCCTGCCATTCTGAGGTCCTTTTCTACCCCGTCTTTTCCAAACCCTCGCCTCCAGAGCCACGCCGCTCCTCACGGGGCCCACTCACGTTGTGCCACAACGGCCACTGGGGCGCCACCCCCAAGACCAAGGAGGAACGCGACAGAGCCACAATATACAAAATGATGATAAGAGGCAAAGAGCCGCATTAATTTTGGCCGGGAGCCGCATGCGGCTCTAGAGCCACGTGTTCGCCACCCCTGCTCTAGCCCATGAGTCACGCCTTCGAAGGTATTCGGCTACCAAGAACCAAAAGCTATCAAATTGTTTTACATACCTTTATTACTGTGCTGGTTAAACTGACCCCAAGGGAGTGATATATAGCCCGTGTCTCTAAGACAGCCCGAGGCAAAAGGTGCGGGCAGAGAGGCCCTGTTGTGAGGCTGGGGGTCGTGACATGCTGTGGTAGCAGCTGCTGCCAAAGTAACCTTTTAAAAAACCTGCGCCGCCAATCAAATCTCCCACGGCCAATTGGAAGCTTTGCTGGGGAAAAGTCCTACGTTGCCCCACCCACTTTCTAAAAACAGTCGATGGGCGCTAGGAAACGTGTCGGCAGGTGGCGCCCACAGGGACCATATTGAGGACTAGCGTTTTGCCATATTCTGTGATTCAGGAGCAATATGGAGCAAAGCAAGATTCCGTGGGCTGTATTGTTCTTCTTTTCCGCATGAAGGTGAAAGGAGGCTGTCATCCTGAATGGGAGGTTATAGAAGTGTTCATTCCCTGAAACCCCAAGTTCACTTGTGGCCTAGTGAATGTTGGAAGTCCCAGATGCAATGTCCCTGTGTCTCAGACCTCCAGACGGAGTGGTAAGAGAGGCTAGATCGCTAGACAGGCACACAGACCTTTCTTCCTGTATCTACTCTTCTGCCACTATCTCCTTTGAAATGCAGGTTGTTTTCTCAGGGAACATTTCCCCTTCCTTCTTCTCTCTCACTCTGTTGAAGACAAGGTCTCTTCCTGCATGCACCGAAAGAGAGACATGCGATCCTTTCTTGGCACCGTGAGGCAGATGGGCCTCTCGCCATCTGCTTCCATCCTTTAGCTAGTAAGTTAGTGATCTATCATGTCCCTACTCTTTCCCAGCCAAAGTGTACTTCTCAAAAAGAGAGAGAAGTATTTCTCTTCTAAACTTGCAGCGTGGCTCTGTGTAGCTTGGTAAGCTGAGTAACCTGGCAAAGTGACGCTGCTGCGTTTGTAGCTTTATTGAAGCACTCTGCTAACTAGGGGGGACTGGACTAACCACACCAGTTAACCTCACTAAGTGAATACATTCAAGCAGTTCTAGAATCCACTGGGATCTGAAGCAGAGACTTCCAGGTCTACCTGTCGGTTCAGGCTGCAAAATGAAGGCAGAAAGGCAATACGACTTCCCCTGAACCCACCGTGGCTTCATGTCTGTCAGAACTCCGTTTGTTCTCCTGTCTGGAACTTGGGCCTAATTAAATCAATGCGACAACCTCATTTGGAGTACTGTGTACAGTTCTGGTCACCACACCTCAGAACGGATATTATGGCATTGGGAAAAGTGCAGAAAGCGGCAACTGGAATGATACAAGGGTCAGAACACATTCCCTATGACGAAAGGTTAAAGCGCTTAGCGTTCTTTAGCTTGGAGAAACGATGACTTGGAGAAACGCATGCCAAGCAGATGTGAGCCACCACGGCCCCTCCTAGTGATAAATCCTCCCCAGCCCATGAATCTGCCTTAAACTGAACCAGACTCTTGGTTCATAAAAGTCAGTATTGCCATCTCTGGCTGGCAGCAGCTCTCCAGGGTCTCAGGCGGAGGTCTTTCCCATCACCTCCTGCCTGGTCCTTTTAACTGGAGATGCCGGGGATCGAACCAGGGACCTTCTGCGTACCGAGCAGAGGCTCTACCACTGAGCCACAGTGCCACCCCAATAAACACAGCCATGAAGCTGCCTTATACTGAATCGGACCCTCAGTCCATCAAGGTCAGCATTGTCCACTCAGACTGGCAGCAGCTCTCCAGGGACTCAGGCAGAGCAAGGTCTTCCACATCACCTCCTGCCTGGTCCTTTTTAACTGGAGATGCCGGGGATCGAACCTGGGACCTTCTGCATACCAAGCAGAGGCTCTGACTCTCACTAAGCTATGGTCCCTCTCTGTAGATCTCCAGGATCCCAGGCGGAGGTCTTTTACATCACCCGCTGCCCGGTCCTTTTAACTGGTGATGCCGGGGATTGGACCTGGGACCTTCCGCATGCCAAGCAGAGGCTCTTCCCCTGAGCCACACTTTTGTGGGGAGCTCTTTGTGCGCATCTAACTAGTCTCCTTTCCTTTCACGCTCTCTGTTCCAAGCAGCCCAGACTTGGACGGGGGCTGAGGTGCTCACCCGGCCGTAGATCTCTCCCTTCCACCATCCCGGATGCCCTTTCTTGTTCAGAATCTTGATGATGTCTCCTTCTTTGAGGGACAACTCGGTACGGTCACGGGCACAGTAATTGTAGCGGGCCTTGGCGGAACCAAAGTACTTCAAGCTTCTCCCTGCCGAGGAAACAAGATGGGGACATTACGGACTGAGAGGATCATATGGCGTTCGCCGTCTACCCGATGCCAGTGTTCCCTCTAAGCCGAGTGAGTGTGAGCCAGCTCACAGTTTTTTAGCCTCCGGCTCACACATTCTTGTCTCAGCTCAGGAAGGATGGGGCTCCAGAGCAAACTGATTTATGCAGGAGCCAAATCGCTCGCTCACAACTTTTATGCCGGTAGCTCACAAGGTAGAGTTTTTGCTCACAAGGCCCCACAGCTTAGAGGGGGCGTCCCTCCCTTCTCACTCTGCACCCCAGTTTTTGGATATTTCAGTGGTGTTCTATCTATTTGACATCTACGCTGGATGCTATGTATAAACATGTGTGGGAAAAATTAGTATAATAGATACCTTGAAAAAAATGCATATCCTTGGAGCTGCCCAGACTGTAGCTCCCTACCCCCCACCCCTTCCTGTTTTAAAAGGCCAACCCAAAGAGGTCAATGATAAAAAGGGATCACCTGGGAAGCACAATGGTGGCTAGCAAATGGTGCACCAAATGCAATTCCTGTCTGACACCATTCCAGGCTCAGCATGGTTCCCCCTTTTCCCTCCCCCAACCCTGCCTCTACAGTAGCCGTATTAATTAGCCTCTAGGCTGAGAGGGCACGGGGCTGTTTCCACAGAGATACTTTGGTCTGCCTTGGGTTTGCAGCAATATTCCCTCTAAGCTGTGGAGTCTTGTGAGCAAAAAATCTACTTTGTTTTTTTAAAAACAATTTTTATTAGGATATAACATCAAATCAAACAATATAACATTTTTTTCAGTTATTTTATATCCTTTTCTACCCCTATCCTCCCCTCTCTTCTGGCTTCCCGCAGTGCTCCAACCTCCCTCCCAAGTTTTTTGGTTGCCATTTCCCTTCAACTTTCATCTATTACTTAAACTTATTAGGTAACACTATTATCTTTATACACTTATACACATTCTATATATCTTTCTATCAATAGTTGTCAAAAATTCTACTTTGTGAGCTATTGGCATTAAAGTTGTGAGCGAGCAATTTGGCTGCTGCATAAATTAGCTTGCTCTGGAGCCCCATCCTTCCTGAGCTGAGACGAAAATGTGTGAGCCGGAAGCTAAAAAACTGTGAGCTAGCTCACACTAACTTGTCTTAGAGGGAACACTGGTTTGCAGATACGTGACATCGTCCTGTATTGGCCCAGCTTCTGTGATTTCCCCTCCTTTGCTGCAATCGTTCCCAAATCTGATCTGATACAATCTTTTTGGTGGGACCACAGGGAAAACACCATATTGATGCTTCTTTTTTTGCCCCAGTCCCTGCAGGTACCATTTCCCAACAAACTGGAGGGGTGTGTGTTTTTTTGGCTATTTTTTAAAAAATGGAAATTGCTGGATCACGATACTGTTATAACAATCCATTGCCACCATGAACTAATTCTTGGTTTTTATTTTTTAAGTAAGTCTCCAGCCCTTTTTGTTGCGAAGTTTTAAAGGTAAAAGTGCAGATGGCGCATTCTGCTGCCGCTGCAAATGCCTCTCTATTTGCTAGGGCTGCCAGGTCACAACCTAGAATCCCACTTGGTCCATCAAGGTCAGTATTGTCTCCCCAGACTCTCCAAGGTCTCGGGCTGAGGACTTTCCCATCACATTTGAGGAAGGATGTTGACAAGCTCGAGCGTGTCCAGAAGAGGGCAACCAGGATGGTGAGAGGGCTGGAATCCAAGTCTTGATGAGGAAAGGCTAAAAGAGTTGGGTATGTTTAGCCCGGGAAAGAGAAGGCTTAGAGGGGACATGATTGCAGTCTCCAATATCTGAAGGGCTGTCATGTAGAAGATGGAGCAGATCTATTCTCTCTTGCTCCGGATTGCAAGACTAGATCTAATGGGTGGAAAATTACAAGGGATCCGATACCGACTAAATATCAGGTGACACTTCCTGAATGTAAGAGTGGTTGAGCCGTGGAACAGTCTGCCTCGGGAGGTGGTGGGTGCTCCTTCGCTGGACGTTTCCAAGCGGAGGCTGGACGACCATCTTTCGGGTATGTTGTAGGGCCCTCTTTCAGCCGTGCTCCTGCAGAGTGCAGGGGGTTGGACTAGATGACCTGCAAGGTCCCTTCCAACTCTTAACATTCTATGATTCTATGACCTCCTACCTGGTCCTTTAAACTGGAGATGCCGGGGACTGAACCTGGGACTTTCTGCATGCCAAGCAGATACTCTACCACTGAGCCACAGCCTCACCAGGGCATACACCACAGTGGCCAATCTTTTCTGCCCAGGACTTCAATGGACTTAGAAAGACATAACCGTGTTTAGCTGTGCACTATGAAATCAATGTAGCCAGCCACCACCTCAGAATAATGTCAAAGCAACAGAGCTGACCTGTTCTGCTCCCGTGATGGCTATTTTCTGCCCATCCGCCCTGAAGTTGCACAGCTGAAGCCCACGGCACACCTACGGTTGCCAGTTCTGGGTTGGGAAACACCTGGAGATCTTGGGGGTGGAGCCTAGGGAGGGTGGGGTCTGGGAAGGGGAGGGGCTTCAGCTGGGCATGGTGTTATAGAATCCACCCTCCAAAGCAGCCGTCCCCCCCCCCCGGAGAAATTATCACTATAGTATGGAGATCCGCTGTATCTTGCAAGACATCTTCAGGTGCCACCTGGAGGCTGCTGGTCAGAGTCACGCACCTGCCGGCTTGGAGACGGTTCTGCTCTCCAGCTCTTGGAAAGAGAACTGCAGCACCGTGTCAAGGCTCTTGAAGCAATCCTTTAGGGAGTTCTGCTGGTAGAACTCCACCAGTTCCTACACAGGAAAAAGGAGAAAGACCGTCTTCACGTACAGAGTTTTGCAGAACTTGCATAGTATCCTGACAGGAGTGGCGTGGAAGGCTGCCCCACCCTCAGATTCTGGTGTGGGCAGTGTTCCCTCTAAGCTGAGTCAGTGTGAGCCAGCTCAGTTTTTTAGCCTCTGGCTCGCACATTTTTGTCTTAGCCCAGGAAGGATGGCTCCAGAGCAACCTAATTTCTGCAGTAGCCAGATCGCTCGCTCACAGCTTTAATACCAGCAGCTCACAAAGTAGGATTTTTGCTCACAAGACTCCACAGCTTAGAGGGTGCATTGCTGTGGAGGAGTGTTCCCTCTAAACTGAGTCAGTGTGAGCCAGCTCAGTTTTTTAGCCTCTGGCTCGCACATTTTTGTCTTAGCCCAGGAAGGATGGCTCCAGAGCAACCTAATTGTAATCTTCTGCCACCCTCTTCCTCTCCTGCTTCTTGTCTTTGGTTTGGTGTAGTGGTTAGGAGTGCAGACTCTAATCTGGGAGAACCGGGTTTGATTCCCCACTCCTCCACTTGCACCTGCTGGATGACCTTGGGCAAGCCATAGTTCTGGCACGGCTGTTCTTGGAAAAGAGCAGCTTCTGTCAGAGCTCTCTCAGCCCCGCCTACCTCGCAGGGTGTCTGTTGTGGGGAGGGGAAGGGAAAGGAGTTTGTAAGCCACCCTGAGACTCCTTCAAGTAGTGATGGGCGGGGTATAAATCCAATCTCTTCTTCTTCTTTGCCCCAGGTTCCCACCCCGGATTTTTCCTCAGTGGTTACAACAACTTGGGGGCAGGAAAAGACAGCGAGACGCACCAGCCCTTACCGTAAGCCCTTTAAAGGCCTTCTTGTCGGTGATGCGGTACAAACCCTCCGCTGTCAGGATTTTGATATGCTTGACTTCATTGTTGAACCTGTGGGCAGAAATTCACACCGCTGTTGTTGGGCTAACGGCTTCCTATGCCTGTTAGTTTGCCTGGCAGTTTTCACCATTTGAAAAGATGCGGGCCATCTCCTCACCTGAAGGAGCCCCAGCTTTATCCTGAGAGGCAGAAATGAGTGCTAAAAAACCCACCTGTGGCAGGTACCTCGCCATTTGAAATCAGGGCTGCTGACCTTCAGATGGGGCAAAAACTGAGGGTCACAGTGTTAGGAAGATATGGAAAAATGTATAGCACACTGTGTATAGTTGAGGCATGCTTAAGGTAGATCTATTTTGTGCTTCTTATTTTTCTTTTCTTAATTTTTCTATTGTTGTTCAGTCGCACAGTCGAGTCCGTCTCTGCGGCCGGGCGGCCCCATGGACCCCATTGCTCCAGGCCCTCCTGTCTTCTGTCCTGCTTCGGAGTTTGCTTAATTTCATGCTTGTTGCATCGATAACACTATCTAACCATCTCATCCTTTGCAGTCCCCCTTCTTCTTTGACCTTCGATCCTTCCCAGCATAAGGGTCTTCTCTAGTGAGGGCTCCCTTCTCATTTGGTGGCCAAAGTATTTGAGCTTCAGCTTCAGTATCTGGCCTTCCAGGGAACAGTCAGGGTTTTCTTTTCAGATTGACTGATTTGATCTCCTTGCAGTCCAAGGAACTCTTAAGAGTCTTCTCCAGCACCATAGTTCAAAAGAATCTATTCTTCGGCGCTCGGCCTTCCTTATGGTCCAACTCTCGCAGCCATACATGACTACTGGGAATACCATTGCTTTGACCATGCGGACTTTTGTTGGCAGGGTGATGTCTCTACTTTTTATCATGCTGTTTAGGTTCGCCATCGCTTTCCTCCCAAGGAGCAGGCGTCTTTTAATTTCATGACTACTGTCACAGTCTGCAGTGATCTGGGATCCCAGGAACGTGAAGTCTGTCACTACTTCCACAGCTTCCCCTTCTATTTGCCAAGGAGTGATGGGGCCGGATGCCATGATCTTAGTTTTTTTGATGTTGAGCTTCAAGCCCACTTTTGCGCTCTCCTCTTTTACCCTGAGCAAGAGGCTCTTGAGTTTTCTGGGGTCCCATCGGAACCCTTGCGGCAAACATAACAACTTACCTAGGAATGTTTAAATGTTTGATCATAGAGTAAACTACACTTCGATGTATTATTTTGGTGAAGCTATGTTTGGTAATACTTGACACTAATATTTATATAATGGTATACAGGGCTTTTTTTTTTGTAGAAAAAGCCCAGCAGGAACTCATTAACATAATAGGCCACACCCAACAGCAGAAACTAATTAGCATATTAGGCCACACCCCTGACAGCAGTTTATTGGCATATTAGGCCACACCCCCATGCCTTCCCTTGGCTTGCCCAGGTGCCCTGCAGCTGCGGGTAGCGTGGGCAAGCCGGCCCTTGGACAGGCCGGGGAAGGCACAGGGAGGCATTTAAATGCCTCCCCAATCGTTCCAGGGCCCCCCTGGCGTGCCCACCTCAGAGTCGCCGGGGGGGGGGGGTTCGCTTCTGCAGGCCTTCCCTCTGTAGCCAGGCACGCAGAGGTTTTAGCTGTAGTGGGCGTGGCCAACTCTGAAGCCAGCCGGAACTCCGTTCCTGTGCGTTCCTGCCCCAAAATAGCCCTGATGGTATATAAAAATTAAGAAAAGGGAAAAAAGCACAAAATAGATCTGCCTTAAGCATACATCTACTATACACAGTGTCATGTATTTTTCCAAACCTTCACATGTGGCCCGGAGAGCTCCCAGAATTGCAACTGATCTCAAGACGACAGAGATCCGTTCCCCTTGAGAAAATGGGCCACTTTGGAGGGTGGACTCTGTGGCATTTTGCCCCAAGTTCCAGGGCCCCCCGGGGGTCCCCCCCTCAGGGTCGCGGGGGGGGGGGGTTTCGCTCTGCAGGCCTTCCCTCTGTAGCCAGGCACGCAGAGGTTTTAGCTGTAGTGGGCGTGGCCAACTCTGAAGCCAGCCGGAACTCCGTTCCTGTGCGTTCCTGCCCCAAAATAGCCCTGATGGTATATAAAAATTAAGAAAAGGGAAAAAAGCACAAAATAGATCTGCCTTAAGCATACATCTACTATACACAGTGTCATGTATTTTTCCAAACCTTCACATGTGGCCCGGAGAGCTCCCAGAATTGCAACTGATCTCAAGACGACAGAGATCCGTTCCCCTTGAGAAAATGGGCCACTTTGGAGGGTGGACTCTGTGGCATTTTGCCCCACTGAGGTCTCCCCTCCCCAAACCCCGCCTTCCCCAGTCTCCGCCTCCAAAATCTCCAGGTGTTTCCCAACCCAAAGTTGGCAACCCTGTTCCTAGACCTGGTACCGGAGGTCCTTCAAACCGGAGATGTTGGGGAGCGGACCTCAGACCATCTGCAAACAAAACAAGGGCTCCGCCAGAGCTTCCAAACACAAACCCTCTTTCACCTTTGTTTACTTCATGAGGAAGCAATTGTGAGAAGAGGAGTTAGGATTACTTGATGCTGATGGCGAATTCTGCTGCATCCTTAATTCTCTGCCGCACCAGGAAGGTCCCGTCCGAGCGGTTGGCCAGGATCTGCTCCGCTTCTCCCCTCTCCATGGGCCCTGCGTACCTGTACAAAAGAGACATGTCTGTGGTCTCCAGGTGATCCACTTTGGCCTTCTCTTGACTCTTTAACTAGTCTGTCAAATAAAATTAATCCCTAGTATTGTTCATAGAACATGGGGCTGCCTTTGTCGCAAATTCGGAAGCTGCTGCTGGTGCAGAATGCGGCGGCCAGGTTGGTAGCGGGTGTCTCTAGACGGGATCACATCCAACCTGTGCTGAAAGCGCTGCACTGGCTGCCTCTAGCGTTCCGGATTCGCTTCAAAGTGCTGGTGCTTACCTTTAAAGCCCTACATGGCCAGGGTCCGGCATACCTGAGGGGATCGCCTTTCCCCATACAGGCCCCAAAGAGCATTTCGGTCGGGGTCACAACACCGCCTAGTGACCCCGGGGCCCTAAAGAGGCCAGGCTTGCTGCCACAAGGGCCAGGTCCTTTTCGGTGGCGGCTCCTACCTGGTGGAATGAGCTCCCCGAGGAGATCAGGGCCCTGCGGGACCTTTTACAGTTCCGCAGGGCCTGCAAGATGGAGCTCTTCCACCAGGCTTTCGTGTAGGAGCTGCTGCCATTACCACCAACGTGCGAGTGCAGTGCAGTACCGCCGGGTTGGGCTGACGGGCCACCTGGACATCATGGCCCATGGCATCCTCCTTGTGGATCCCAATGTGATGTGCAATGGATCCTGTGAGTTGTCCACTTGTGTTAAATTGTTTTAACTTGTATTTTATTGCACTGTGTGCCTTCACTGTTTTTAAATCTGTGGTATTGTGTTACATTTTTGGAGGGTTTTGGAGGACTCAAAAGCCTGCACACTATTTTGTAGCATTTTTGCTCGCCTCAATCATTGGTATTACGTGGATTTTGTTTTGGGGGGGGGCGTTCTTTGAACTGACGCGCCTCCCTGGAACTTCTGTACAAGAAGCAGCATCCATAACTTGCAATGTGGCATTTCGTCACTAGGTGTCTCTGTAAGGTAAAGGTAAAAGTTCCCTTGCTGGAAAGCCAGTCGGATCCGACTCTAGGGTTGCGGTGCTCATCTCCGTTTCAAAGCCGAAGAGCCAGCGCTTTCCGAAGATGTTTCCATGGTCATGTGGCCGGCAAGACTAGACACCGAGGTGCACGGAATGCTGTTACCTTCCCAGTGAAGTGGTACCTATTTATCTACTAGCAATTTCTTGCTTTCGAACTGCTAGGTTGGCAGGAGCTGGAACTAGAGACGGGAGCTCACTCTGTCATGTGGCACACTCAGGTCTCGAACTGCTGAACTACCGGACCTTCCACAGCCTGCAGTTCAGCGTCTTAACCACTAGAGCCACTGCAACTCCTAGGTGTCTCTGTACCCCGTAATATTTATCAGTGCTACAAAGAGATGAAAGCCAGGAGCCAGGTTGTGTGACCCGCCTGGGTTGTTTCCAAAGAGGGATTTTCTCTGTGCAGAGAGCGGGAAACCCCCCCACTGTATTATCCACGGGACACTGTGCCCAATTCAAACATGACTTATGTGGCTCCCATATTTTCCCCCAGTGGGGGGGGGCAAGTCCCAGGCTACAGGGGGTCCCAGACAACGGTCATCACTTAAAACAGAGGTGTCAAACTCATTTGTTATAAGGGCCGGATCTGACATGAATGTCACTTTGTCGGGCCCGGGCCACGTGGGCAACAAAATCTAATGCCAGGTACCGGAGATATAGACTGTATAAAGGACAGCAGCTGGTAAACGAGTTGTGTGCTCACTGCAAGGCCCTGTGGGCTGGGAGGGGTATAGGCTTGCCAAGTCCCCCCGGGGGGCGGGGAAAACCCTGCCCGAGAGGCCCGTTACCCGCCGGTGGGTCGGGGCCCGAGGGGATCCCCACCCCCAAAGCACGCGACGTGCCCGGCGTGAGCACGTCACCCGGAGGTGACGTGATCGCATCGGGCACGTTGGGGGTGGGGCCACAATCATCTGAGGGAAAACTCGATGGTTTTCCCTCGGATGATTGTGGCCACGCCCCCAATGTGCCTGACGTGATTACGTCACTGCCGGGTGACATAATCACGGCGCACCGCACGCAGGGACTCCCGGACCAGTGCTGCACTCCCCCGCTCTTCTTAAGGTAAGGACTTGGCAACCCTAGAGGGGTATGCAAAGGAAAACCCACATGGGTGGACTGGAGAGCCAGTGGTGCAGCACTGGGCAGACACTCCCACGCTGGTCGACGGTTGCAGATGAGGTTGTTCCGCCATGCGGAAGCCACAGTCGGAGTGGCTCCACCCACTCTCCACGAGCAGTCTCCCATTCCTTTCCTTGTACTAGTTACTCGCAGGCCGCATAAGAGCTCTGGATGGGCCAGTTCTGGCCCCCGGACCTTATGTTTGACACCCCAGACCTAAACGCGTCTGGTTTCATGTGACAGGCAGAAAGGGGGAGGAATGGGGGTGGGGGGGACACCAGTAGTAGTGAAGATGGGGTGAGCAGTTGCCACCCGCGCCCACTTCGAAGAAAACCACTTCGAAGAAAGAGGCTGCAGGGCGCCCAATGACGCGCAGTGCCTGGCAAGGCGGAGCCTGACCGGATTGAGCCTGAACCAGGAAGCAAAGCCCGGAAGCCGGGCGCCTGCACAGTCCCGCCAGTCGGCAGTCGCTGGAGGTGGGCCAGGAGAGATTGCCGGAAGGACACAAGCCGCACCGAAGGAACAACGAAGGCCCTCCAACTAGGGTGCTGGTAGGCTTTCCCCATCCCTATCACATGTGGCCCAAGTCAGGGAAGAAAGGGTTATTAGAACCACAACAAATGTAAACCGCCCAGAGACCCCTAGGGGTTAGGGCGGTATAGCAAATGTAAAGTTAAATAAATAAATTAAATAAACCTTTGAAGCCAAGTTATATTAGTAATATTGTATAATTTTCATACTTATGAATTATGTCTTTTAAATAGTCTTTTGTAGGACCGGCAAAAAGCATCCATACAACTATTAAGAAGGCTGTCCCCCTTTTTGGAAGACTTCATGCAAGGAGAAGCGGGTTTATTATTCTAGAAACTCCCGTTGAGGCTTGACTTTTAAAACACTGATGCAAAATTGTCTGGTAGTTAGCAATCTGTATGTACTGAATGTTATTGCTTATTGAATGTAATGAATATTTATACCTGACTATGATGAAATAATGATACACTATGCACTTTACTAAATGATGACTATAAATAGAACACATTAGTTTGCCAAAAGGTTTTTGCAGTGTATATTTATTTGTTACTAGACTCTCCTAACACTGTAGCTCGGGTTGCCCGCCCTCTCCTGGCTCCACCCCCAAAAGTCTCCAGGTATTTTCCAACCCAGACCTGGAGACCCTATTCTGCAATGGGGTGCCTGCCCCCTTCCTCCCGTGTGAAGCTGCCCAAGTCTGCCTGACTTTCATTCCCTTTAAGTCTGTTCTCAGCATTAAGGACTACTGTAACGCTCTCTACATGGGGCTGCCTTTGTCTCAAATTCGGAGGCTGCAGCTGGTGCAGAATGCGGCGGCCAGGTTGTTGGTGGGTGCCCCGAAATGGGAACACATCCAACCTGTGCTGCAGGCGCTGCACTGGCTGCCTATAGCATACCGGATTCGGTTCAAAGTGCTGGTGCTTACCTTTAAAGCCCTACATGGCCAGGGTCCGACATACCTGAGGGACCGCCTTTCCCCATATAG